CCGCTATTATTGGCCACTTCCAGCTGCGAGTTGCGTTTCTTATTAGGATTTTTTTATTACAGCTCGGCAATGCCTTTTGAACGCGCATCGTTATTCCGAGATAGTCGGTTTTTAATATGAAGATGGCAAAACGTTGCCCTAGATTTTTTCGGATTTTTTTTAATTTATTCAAATCAAATATAGGTAATTGTATCCAAAATATACAATGAATTACCGAATAAAACCATGCCAACAACGCGATTTTATCCGGATTAATTTGTTTCTAGATTTTTTTCCGAATTATCCATAAATAGTAGTTTTAATTAAAAATACGAATTGCGTAGTTACAAAGTTTTTTTAAAGTGTCATAGGATAAAGATGCATTTAACCCATTTCACTCCTCACGTTGCAGTGTTAATATTTCGTTATAAAAATAGTATTTTTAAAGTATTTCTAATAAAATTTGTTAATATTTCTAACTAAACACAAACCTAATTGACAATGCATACCATTTATATGCGTATATTGCGACATTGAAAACGAAATTTATAGGAGTTAAGAAGTAGCCATACAATGTAGCCCATAATTTTAAACTTTAATTTTATTTTTAAAGCTCTGTGCTTTTCATTTTATAGCAAGTAATATATACGTACTTTTCACACTACGTACTTAATCTAATAGTAATTACGGTATAGTGATAACAAGTACTTGAAAATGAAGATATAGTTTCATCCCCAGCGCGTTTGTCAATTCAGCACTAAAAATATGCCAAGTGAGCATGTTACTACTATCAGTTTAATTTGTTCTCATGCCGCGTTAAAATTTGTTATCTCGAATCCACGACTGGAGAGGGATGGGGGCATTCATCAAGCTCCCACAAGACTACTACAGGCACTAGAGATAGCGTCGCTCGGTCTACGACGCTAACGACTAACTAACGAGCTCCAAATTGGGTTAATGCACCCATTCAGCTGTGCGCGGATGAAGGGAGGCCGGGATATCGGCTCGTATCACTTCTATGTAGTAGCGGTTCTCGTGTCACGATTCGCGGCTTCCGAGCACTAGTAATGCGCCCTGCCCTCGCCGCATTAAAATTCACGATAATAAATTATCGATATCGATAATATGTAATATATATAATTTATGATTATTGACTTTATGCAATGATGTTCCTTTAGTTGTATGTTTGTTAATGAGGAGAAATTGGGTTATGAACTGGTATTTCAGAAGAACAATTAAAAGAACAATTACAAGAAACAATTAAAAGAAACAATTAAATTGAAATGTAGCTCTTTCTCTATATATTACCTACATGAATAATATACATTAAAGTTACTGTAGGGTTAACTGTTTTTTATATGAAAAGTTGACAATCGAACAGGCGGTTCACCTGATGTTAAGTGAATACCGCCGCCCATGGATATCTGCTACACCCGAGGGTTACAGATGCATTGACAAACTTTTGAAAATTGGGCTCCGGCTACTTCACTCACCAGATGAAACGCGAAAGTATTTGTCATACTTCCACTTTACGCCGTGGTACTTACCCGGACGAGCCTGCCTTGTGGCCGTGGCCCTACCATAGTTAGAGGCAAGTAAATCTTAAGATAATAAATATCGTTAGTAATGTTCTAGTTTTCGTTGCTCGGTTTACAGAATTAAATGTATTCCCAAATACTGTATAATGTTCTAAATATAAGTACAGGCTTACAACACCAACAACCAAATGTTTGTTGGTCGTCTCTTTTTTAATTTTATATTTTTAGTGCTAGTCTTTGATTTTTAAGGTAGTCTTGTCTTATTTTTTCTTTTTATGTATTGTTTTATTTATTTAATTTTTACCTAAAACGTTTATATCTCACTGATCATTGTTGAAAATCTATAATTGTTATTTCATTGGAAGATTGCTAGTATTTAGGTACCAAGCACAGCGATTTGTTCTTTTAATATCGGCATTTCATTTATACTGGTTGGTTTCGGCATGTTCCTAATAAGAATAGGTGTAATATAATTGTATTAAGAGAGTAATAAATAAATTCTCCGGTACAAATAATTGAATAAAAAAACTCAATCTCAATGATTACGGTTTGGATAACTAACGGTTTCCATCGATATTGATTTGATTGACTCCACGTTCATGCGTTGCAAATATTTTTACATAATGAGAATCACATCTCCGTCGCTGATTTATAAGTATTAAAACGTAATTTATTTCATTAAGTAGAAGAAGGCAGATAAAATGGATTTATGTTAGGTATAAAAAAGTTTTTATGTGTTTTCTATGGTTATTGAAAAAAATTATCTGACGTAAAAGAAAGAAAGTATTTGCGAGCTATAATAGCACGTGGGGCGTTAAATAGTAAGAGAGCTGATTTTAAGTGGCATACGCAAATAAATCTATATATATATATATACATATAAAATTCTCGTGTCAGTTGTCATGCTCCTCCGTACCAGCTTGATCGATTTTTATAAAATTTCATATTTGGTAGGTCTGAGAATCGGTCGTAATCTATTCGTCATACCCTTAAGTGATAAGAGTGGTCCAACACAAACATTTTATTTTTCGGAGAAATATGGCCAAAACAGCGTTTGCGGGCTCAGCTAGATTTTATATATATAAAGAAGATATTTTGCTTCGTCATTACCATTCATAAAAAGTCTCATTCATTTCAACAGTAAACCGCCAGTAACATGACTGATACAAGATATATCGTGTTTGCATGTGTATTTATGTATAATTTATTAATATGTATTTATATTTTGACTTAAAAGTTTCTCTTATCAATTCAGTGTACACCGTTATTCGATGCTACTGTTTTTACTATTTCCTTTTACTAGGTTGCCTGGAAGAAATGGCTTCTTAGCGATAAGGACGCCTATTGTACAGTTTTGTATTATTTTTGTTGATTGTTCAATATCCGTTGTTTGTGTACAATAAAGTATATTTCATTCATTAATTCATTCAAGATAAATATCTTGGATTACCCTTACTCGTTCTGCTATAATATTTTATGTTTTACGCAAATTCCATTTGCGTCCTGCGCCATTGTAAGCCTGCCCATGTGGCCTTGAAATGTCATGTTTATTTATGTGTTTAAATGGGGAGGGTGGAAATCCAATCAAGCTCCCCCTCATCTCGGTTTATTGTCACGGCATTTCTTTCCGGGCATAATACACCAAGGAGAAGCCACGGTCATTTATATGTTTATTTAATTAACATTCGAATAAGAATGACATATTATATTCATTATGACCTTGTATGATTGAACTAGGGCTGTACTTGGCCTACGATCAATGAGGTCTTGCACCATCCCATAAGAACTTGTTGATTTTAACACGCTTTTATTAGTTTCACATGTAAAAAGTAAAGTAACAGTTTATATATGTCCCACTGCTAACCAAAGGCCGTGAGCCGTGATAGCTCAGTGTCCGGGCGCTCGCCTTTAATTCAATATACTCGAGCAACCTGAATTCGATCCCCGGTGCCGGCACCAATGAAATTGTTAATTTTTAGTGCCGAATTAGGTAAAATGAAAATATGTGTAGTCGGCCAATCCGCAGTGGGGCCGCGTGGTGGTCTATGCCCTGATACCCTCTGTGTAGAAGCCTTTGCCCAGCAATGGGCAAAGGCCAAATTTATATGCGTCGTGATTCTACATGTTAATTGAGAGTTAGATGCTGTAATATTTTAGTCATCAGCTAACGTACACACATTGTAAAGTTGAAAAATGTATTCATGTTGTTTAAAAAATAAAGTTACTCTGCATCCGAGTTGAGGAAACACGTCAGTTATCTGTTCAAAGTTATAAAAACAATGTATGTTTCATGTTACTATCGCAAAGTTGTACAGTTGTGTCGAAGTTGTTTCTATTGTTAGGGAAAGTTTCCAATTAATTTACTTTTGTTTTATCCGAGACTATGTCAATTAACCTTTTAGTAAATTCTACTTTTTATATTTTAATTGTATTATTGTCGTGACGACCCCCCACTAGATGAAGTGACGACCTGTGCAAATGTGCGGGAAGTCGATGGATGCAGGTGGCTCAGGATCGTACTTCGTGGCAGTCTATGGGGGAGGCCTATGTTCAGCAGTGGACTCAAACAGGCTGAAATGATGATGACGATGATATTTAAAATGTAACGTCTTATCATCTAGATTCGACATACTGACTCCAGAAACTGACCAATAACTTAACAGGAAAATATAATTAAAATATGTAGAAAAAGTGCGAAAAGATTGTCGCCGTTGTGGGAATCGAACCCACGTCTTCGGCATTCGCGGCCTGACGCTCTAGCCACTGAGCTAAACGGCTGCTTTTTCTATATATTTTAATGTTCAATCTTAAGTGCAAAAATTAGCACTATAAACGATTTAAAATTTCTAAGAAAAGCAATGGCGACATCTCTCGTTCGAATTATCGTTGTAAAACGATATTCGAAATTGTTTGTATGCTGGAAAGGATATAACAATAGATGGCGCCAAGCATTGCTTCAAATGCTAAGAAAACAATGTAGAAGAATGCGTTAAGATTTTCGTCGGTGTGGCAATCAGCCGTTTAGCTCAGTGGCTTGAGCGTCAGGCCGCGAATGCCGAAGACGTGGGTTCGATTCCCACAACGGCGACAATCTTTTCGCACTTTTTCTACATATTTTAATGTTCAATCTTAAGTGCAAAGATTAGCTCTATAAACAATTTAAAATTTCTAGGAAAATATAAACTTTAATTTTTTATAAAGTTTACTAAGTAGTTTTGTTTGTGTTTTATTTTTTGAATACTTAAAAGCTGCACAGAAACAATGAAAAATAGGAAGTAAAAACTGACAGTACTATACCGAATAATTCGAGATTTCGCACTTTATTATAGCATTGACACTACTACTAAAGTCAAGGTATTTTCTCAATTGACCGACCTATAGCTCTGATTGGAGACGCCGGTTATTTCTCGCCGTAAATAGGATAAGCGTGTCCTTAGTACATGTCCACACGTCTCTAATACATGTCCACTCGTCTCTACCGACATGCGCACGTGGCCCAAGTATCTCGGCCGCATCGCGGGAAGCCGATTGCGTTTCACCCTGGCGAACTGCATTGTTCGCGCCCCTTGCCCCCTGACGTTATCAATTCGGCCCCTTATCATACGCGTAGGCGACCCACGTCCGGACTTCTGCGCTCCCGATACGCGCCTGTGGGTGCACTCCGCCCCGCTGCACCGTTGCACACTTAGAGCCCGATTTACACTGGTCAAGTGTTTAGTACAGTAGATAAGTACAGTGAGTAAGTACGGTAGTGTAAACGGGGTCGGAGAATGGAGATAGCCAAGTTGACTCGCCACTGAAGTACAATGTTTAAGCGTTCTGAAAATTGTTTAACATTGTGATAGCACCGACTCACTCATTTTATTGCAATTAAATCTCTAAATATATTGCCCGTGTGTCACAATTATCAATAATGTTATCGCTCACCCAGTTACCAATACAATGGACAACCGATACAGCTGAAGTTCGCGACTATCTTCCACACGGCATGAACGGCGTTTTAATAGCTTACCAAGTTAACATTCCAAATACCCTTGGCCGAGTTCAATTAAAGTGGAAAAAACATTAAAATTATTTCTCTTTTATCCGAATTGCGCACTACGGAAAAATTGTGTTACTTGGGTTTCCATACGTACCTACATAGATAAAGCACACCCAGACCGAGCGCGTCATACAAATTTTAGGCCCGTGTGAGGAATTGATCTATGAATACTGACCAATACCTTACATCTCCGCAACTTGTTTTGAAGGGCCTTGAGGCCAAGGTACCTTGATTATTCAACGAATAAATAACTCGTTAAAGAATAAAAGACCGCCGAGTGGCCTAGCAAACATTTATTAATGAAACATTACAAAGCGCCTAATGCGCGAACTAAATGTTTAAAGTTTATTGAGAACTAGCTGCCGCCTGCCACTACAGCTGCGTAGAATAGGCTGAAGGCGTAACATTCAGACAGAAAGACAGATATACACAAAATATGTATATAAATTATATCCTATTTCTTATCCTGATGTATAAGCTATATTATTGTAAAGTTTCATTATAATCCATTCAGTAGTATTTGCGTGAAAGAGTAACAAACATCCATCCATACATACAATTTTTCGCCTTTATAATATTAGGTAGTAAGGATATAAGTTTTGTTAATGTAAAAGAAGATTGGGCAAGCGAGCTGGCGTTTCACCTAATGTTAAGTGATTACCGTCGCCCATGGGCAGTTGCTACACCCGTAGGATTGCAGATGTGTTGCCAGCTTTTACCAAAGTGGGCTCCGGTTACCTCACTGGACAGAGGTAACGCAGAAGTATAACGTTCGTATGAAAATTAAAGTCCGCGAAGCAATATTTGAAAGAACCTCACGCCTCGGTCTTCTGTGACGTCGTGTTACTTATCCGGATGGACCTGCCCATTCGTGTAACAGCGAATACTGCTCTGTGGTCTTACCATTAACATTAATTTTGGTATTTTTATAAAAATAAATATTATGCTGTTTATCTAATTCGATGAACATTCTGTGTATACATACAAAACCAAAAAAGGGAAACGATATCTAAATATCAACATTGCTACGTCTATGCTAGAACGCCAAGGCTTCAATAAATATTTTTTTTCCCAGACAGTCGCTGTTTGTTGGCCAAAGATAATGCTCTATTGTTAAGCAATCTTCGAGACGTTCGATTCTTTGCCAATTCAAGGCGATCGTTTTTGTATATAGGTGTATCAAATTGATTTTTGTTGTACCGCTAAACAATATGAAATATAAATGGCCGACATCAATATTTTGCGGTGAATTATTTCTTTAAATTTTATTATTATACGGAAAAGGCCGAGGAACCGCGAGTGTACATTCAAATTTGATGTTTATCAGAGAACTTGTTATCTAAGAATACCAAAACGTAAAATTATTCGCTAAAACAATCCGTTATTGTTGTCTTACAATTTCATTCCTAGAAAGATTAACAAACAGTATTAAATACTGTTCGTAACCATCTCTCGCTCTCTTTGAATAGCTAAGAATTTAATGAAGTGTCTGAAAACAGACTATAAATAAAACAAAAAAATATTAAAATTATACTTCTTTAGGCGCGTTTGAAAAAAAATACGTGTTTTGGTCGTGGTGTTTCTTGGCTTCTTGACCTTATCGTATCTTATCCCGGATGCGGCTGAGATGATGTTCAACCTAGCTTACTGAGCTTCAAGTTAAATAAAAGTGCCGTGGGCTAGAAGCTTTTAAAAGGCTACGTGGACACATAACTTTCATCAAAATGTATGCTTAGTATATTCGGAATTAGATAGTTTTGATGAAAAATTAGTTAAGATTCCTTTGCGGTCAAAAGACGACAAAGAAAGGACGAAAGAGAACACTTAGCTTTTTATTCCTTGTGTCGTTGTAACGCAACAAGAACCTTCCGGAATCGAACTAAGAACTGAACTGAATGAGATATTTGCGAGGCTGCGTCGCCTGAGCAACGGGGTAGTAATCGCAGCGAGTCGTTAAATCTTTGCATCAGCGACGAATCCGCGGCACAATTGAGACGTTGGTGCGTTGATGACGTTGATCGCGTTAAGTCCGTATCTCGACTGTGTCACGGCCAGTTAAGCGTCCCGGGTTCGAGGCGCCGCCACAATGGATGGTCTTTTCGCCGGCGCTAAGCGGCATTAATTCAATTTGAATACTCTCTCCTCGTCTCGAGCAGACCTCTTAAGCAGCTGAATAATTTTGCGACGCAATAATGCATTGAGTCGTTTCCTGTAAATGTAGAAATGATAAATAGATGACTCCGTGGCGCAGTTGTCAAGGTTATTGGCTTCAGCGTCGGGGGTCGTGGGTTCGATTCCCACACGGGAAAACTATTTGTGTGAGCCACAGATAGTTGTTTCGCATCTGGCTGTTTGTCCACGTGAAATTTATGTTTGTAAAACGTCCCTACAACACAGGATAATGTTATCCTAAAGTAAGGGCAATGTTTATAAAAAAGATAAAAAAAAAAAAAAAAGAAATACGATGATAATTCCCTTCGGCGTGATATGTTTTTCCGATGACAACTAGCATCACATTACTGTGTCAAGTAAATAAAACATGTCAAGTAAAAAATAATGGGTAAACATAACCACGTCAAGTAAATTTAACGAAAAATGTTTTAAAAATGAATGGCCATATTTTAATATGTAGGTACTTACCATTTTCTATTGTGTGAATAAGTCCCGTTCCTCAAATACATATTCGTCCTTTATGTAACTGTCTTGTCTGTATCATTTCAGAGAAAACACCGCCAAAATTGTCTCCACCTAGCCTTTTCAAATAAAACTTTATGATTAGATTCATGATACATTATAATCACGTTTTTTCACGAGTCGTGAAACACAGAAACGTTTCAAAACACTGACACAAAGAAGGAAGCGTGTCATACGTATCGTTCTTGTCGACGGTATCAGTGCGTAATGTTTCTCATCGATCGTTAAACTCGTCAAAGTCGCAAGTTAACGGTCGAACTAATAAAATTTAACAGATTGTGCCGTCTGTCTGTCGACGTGGAATCCTCCGTCGGTTTTACTGCCGGTCGCGTGTCCCGCGTGGCGGATTCGTCGGTAGCCGCTCGCCCATCTGTATCCCAACGCCTTAATGGTACAGGAAGGCGCGTATGGCCGGATCATAGACAATACGGATGGCCCCGTCCTAATATAAACCGGGCGGACGCCGGCTGCATTGAATCGCATCATTTCCGTATACGAACGCGGCCAAATACGTCTCCCACTTTGTGTTTGTAGTGTTACTATGATTTTAGACCGATAATATAGGATAAGAGACAATTCCCAAGAGACATTTCGACTGAGACGGATATTGAAATAAGAATTGTTTTGCTGCAATTAGGTATGGGAACAGTTATTTTTTCTGACGTATTTGCATTACAGAATCACACGCCTTACGATAATGTAAGACTCTGAAACTTTTGTAAATATTTTTTTATTAAGACATTACGGGATTATACAATTTTGGTTAGTAAGTCTTTTTAAATTTTGTATGTTGCAAGTTGTCCACAGATGTATGTTTTAATCATTTACTATCTGGTAAATAGATAAGCAAATTATAATATACCAATCTTGTTTTACTGTAATATAATATTTTTCCGACATGACCGCAAAATCTATCTTGAGTTTGTGGCGTAGTATTAATGTTTACGGCAATTTGAACACGGCGCAATTTTATGAATATAAGTTAAACACATTTTATATTATTTTATTTAAATGATTATTTTTTTAATGTGAAATGTTGTCAATCGAGTGGGCGCTTCACCTGATGTTAAATGAATATCGCCGCCTATGGACCTAGGTATGCAGATGCCTTGACAACTTTTAAATAAGTTCGCCTCGGGTTACCCGACTAAACGCAATACTTCCACATGACGCCTGTCTTATGTGTGTCCATGGCACTGCCCCGGAAGAGCCTGCCCATTCCTGCAATAGCAGAATCAGTTGCTTGCCCCTACCACAGTAAATTAAATTAAGTATTTCCTAACTTCCTTCGAGACTTCTACAAATGAGGGTTATAACACTTCCTATTTTATTAGTTCAGCAATCACATAGTGTCAACTTACTTAGCCAGATATGAACCTTATGCAAAGTTTTCAACATGTCACCATCATCATTTCACTCCACTGCTGAACATAGGCCTCTTCCACAGACCGCCACAAAGCACGACCTTGAGTTACCTGATCGACCATTTGTACCGATTTCTCGACAAGTCGTCACTCCATCTAATGGAAGGTCGTCCTACAACACGACGTCCGAGCTTGCCAATCGAGCACCTTTCTTCCCCATCAATTATCGGTTCAACTTATAAAACAATGTTTATTATAAAATTATGGTCAATTGGCCAACTTAGATATGTCTGAGTGAACATACATCGTAATGTCCATGAATGTGTGTCATAGTGATGTCCACGCTGCACAGGATGTTTTGTATGGCAACGCGATGTGTAGGAATTAGAATGCTGATTAATACTTAAATGCACATTTGATTACGAACGCTTCCGTTTGTACCGTTTGTTTGGTACAGTGACCCGATAAAAAGGTAGCCTGGCGACTTTGAAACTATCAACAACGTAGTAAAACGGTTTAAAGGTTATAAAATCAACTACAAAGGTTGTATACGTATTCATTCTAACTTCTTTGGAATCAAATATGAACATATGAAATATATTTGAGTGACTATTATTAGCTTA